CATCCGCATCCGCATCTTCCAGCCGCACCCGCTGTTGCACAGGTTTCTAAACTCCTCCATGCCCCAGGCGTTAGCGGGAGGATCATGGATCATGGATCATACATTCATCATACAGACATAGCAACCAGTAGCTACCTATGTACGTACACTAGTCAGCGGTCAGCCCTACACTGCACTACACCACACTACACTACACTACACTACACTTATACGGATACTGCATCGTCGCCGTGCCACGTGCTGCTAACGTAAGACCGCTCCGACTAAGCACAGCTTTCTGTCAGCTTTTCACACGCGGCAGTTGGTTTCCTTGAGCCATCCGCGACGACAAGCCAGCAGCAAGGGGACCGCCAGGACAGGGCCAGCCAAGGTACGCCTCGCCAGCGTTGCCGTCTAGTGCTTACAACGACGCTAAAGTCTGTCTCCGGGGCCCGAGGACCGCCTGGATTTACGATGGCGGCGATGCAAGGGACGTGTCGTGTCGTGTAGTGTCGTGTAAGTGGATTAACTCAACTCAACTCAACTCAACTCAACTCAACTCAACCCCGTACTTGGAAGAACAAGTAGACGACGCTACTGCTTACCCTAGGTAGGTACTCACGGCTATGCAAAACCGCATTGCTGCTGTCCACGCCGCCTCGCCTCGCAATGAGTAAAGCGGGACGGGATTATATTTGCGAGATTTACGGCAGTTGAAACGCAGAAACTAATAACAATGATGATAATGATCATGTTGGTGGTAGTTGGTAGTTAGTGGTGGTGATGATTTGCGAGAGCGACCTAGCTTGGGGGTGGTGGCTATTTCGAGATGGGCGCTAATATGCGCCTCGGACACGCACCATCATATGTCCACCGTAATTTAAGAAATTGCTATTCTATTCTGTTCTATTTTTCTTTCTCCCCTTCGCTGACGCCGTGGACCCTTGGTGTTGGTGTGGCTTCTTCGCCTTATTAGTATATTTTAACTGTGATGACAACAACGGGGCGCGAGGAATGAATGCGAGGGATGTGATGGCTTTGTTTACGGTGAGGTTGTCGATACGGTCGTCTTGTAGGGCGGTGTTCATCCAGTGGGTATTTCGAGTAAGAGGAGGTCAGAGAGGCTGGATCTTAGCAATTTGCGTGTTTATGCGTTAGGTATTTATTATTGTTATTACTGCTACTACGGCGTCTTGAGACGATGCGAGAACGCCTACCTAGGCTAGACGTCTAGGTGATAAATTTAGATCTCCTCTGGTGCTAGAATGGCCTTTGGTTCGGGTTACTTACGCCGGCTCCCTCGAGACTTACCTTGACGGCCCCTAATGGCTTTGATGATTGCACAAGAGGCATATCAGGAGACTATCTATCTATAAACTCGAGACAGGTAGCAGAGCGTCGAGATAGAAGTATACCATCTACATATTGGTGTGATTCTCATCGTGTAGCATGTCAACGTTCTATACCTACCTTATATATAGAATATAGTGTTGATAGGCTCATATAGCTACACCATTCCGACCTTCCCCCAGGTCAGTTCTACTATGTGAGATGGATCCATCCGAAAATATCCCCCGTAAACTACACGGTAGGTAGATTAATGGGCCTTATGCTAGAAATACGTGAGTTTAAATCATGGAAGTATCACACTGCTGGCTATAACTATGTAACATAAGAGCGAGGAACTTACGCTACTACTGCTCAAGAAATCATGAATCTAACTACCTGTTAGGATCATAGGTAAACATACACGTAGCTCCTCTATCTGATTGTCTTAAGGCGACTTTGTGGTACGACCTCCTATTTTTTATAGTTCCCAATAAATCACTTTGCTTTGCCTTCTCCTAGGATAGAAGGCAGCCCTTATAGCACGGCGATGTCAGTTTCGGGAAGCAAATTTGCAATTCGTGCTAATAATGTTGCAGGCAGACAGTACCCCGTGGACTCTAGCCATAGTATACTCGCAACACAATATGTACCTCTTAACAGCGATATTGCATCCAACTTAGATAAACGTATCAGCCCCTAAATTACCTACCTGAGGTATATTCGCAGATATGGGATATACGAAGACTTAGCTATGCAGGTTAAGCTAGGAAGAATCGCAATGAAGCTACGTGATATTTCGAACTAAAAGACTCTATTAACGAACCCCTAGAAGATGAACCCACACTATAAGGAGGAGAGAAGCCCACACGACTTGTTTAAAGGTCAAGAAAGAAACCACCGCCCAGTATACCTACCTAGGTATACACCTACTCCCATTTAGAGTGCTACAAGCCCATGTCATTGAACTATCTAGTACAAGTAAAAGGGAACCAAGAGGCTTTAATAATTGTGTGTAGCTATTGCTTAATTCCATGATTACGCCGCAGGTCTTAGAGAAACCCTAGATGCGTTGCTTCGAAGATAAAACCGCAACGCTTAATGCTTCACTTCAATAGGTATTCACATAGATAAATCACACTAAAGACCTCAACGGGGACTTATTCGCATGGTCGATTGACTCAACTAAAACAGTCGTAAACACGATGGAGCACGTCTCTGGAAAGTTCATATCCCGTCCTGAACGCCAAAGCAAAGTGAAAAACCTGGTAGGCCATATCAAACCAACTATGTACAGACCGAGGGTGGTAGAAAAGTATTCCTTAACGGTGAGACGCTTTGCCCATGGTTCGTTTGCCGGCGAACTATTTATCATATTAGCACAAGACCACACGGTATATATATATATATATATATATATAGTGAAGAAAACTTACCAAATGTTTAGGCAGCGTGGCGCCAATATGCCTATCAGCCTCACCCTGTCTGGCCATGCGGTTCATCTTCCTCTGGCTCAGTTTAGCCTGTCTCTCTGCCTTCGTCCTCGTCTCCTCGTCCTGGACACCATCATCGCGCCTGTTTGTTGCCGGCTGGCTTCTTGTTCGGCTCGCCGCCCTGCTCTTGGAACGTAGTCTCTCCCTGGGTGTCTCGTCGATATCCATAGCATTAGAATCTTCGGTGCCAAGGCGACTTCTGGTGACAGAACGTCCACGGGTCACCGTTTGCGATCTTCCTCTGAGTTCCAGGTCTTGAGTGTCAACACCCATCTGGTCAAGAGTATCCTCGAGTTGAGATAGAGACTTCTTGATAGCCTTGCGAGGTAAGGCTGCACGGTTCTTGACCCTACGCATTCTCGACTCATTCCGAATCAGTGCCTGCTTCTCTCGAATGATCTCTGCCTTCACTCTGATATCTGCTTCTTCTGCATCATCAATCTCCTCATCCGAGTCGTAGTATCCTTCGGCCTCAAGCTTCTCTTCCTCCTCTTCTAGTGCCTGTAGCTTGGCATCAATGTCAGGGTCGATGTAGTCGTAGACATTCTTGCCGTTGTAAATCTCGGGTATTCTGTCATGCTTCCATTCGGGGTTCGCAAGAATGTATTCAGCCTTCAAGTCCACATTGTACACACCAGCACCACCATTCTCAGCTTCGACATCACGAGCCAATTTGCGACGTTCGGGGTCTTCCTTGCTGTATTTCTTGAGGTTCTTCACAGCGTCGGGGATGAAGGTCTCCTGCGTAACACCGCCCATAGGTTGTGCCACGTGAATTCTGGCCATAACATCTGCTAACCTGCCACCAATGGCACCATTGTTTGACGTGCCTGCCTTCAGCTTCTGGGCAACTCTGTCCGCAAGAAGTCGCTCGCAAGCGGCATTCTTGACTTCCTGTACGCCTTCTTGCGTATTGCAAGAGAGCTGGAGCAACTCTACTTCACCGGAGGAGACTAAGGACTGGAGTTCGCCGCTCGTCTTCTCATCCAGCTCTTCGGGCCTTAAAATATCGATCTTGTTGATAACAATAAATACCAATTTGTTTGAGAATAAGGGTTTGATGCTCTTGAATAGTTGCATTTGCGCGGCGACTGAGTAACCACACTGCTCAGAAAGATCCATGAAGTAAAGGATAGCGGACCTCAAGTGAGCAATGGCAGTAATAGACTGCATTTCGATTGTGTTCATCTCCTCGAGGGGGTGATCCAGGATACCGGGGCTGTTTTGCGTTAGCATTGGTTACTTTTGACACCCTTCGAGATTAAAGAATAAGAAGCTTAGTGGGAAAAGTAGATATTGAAATAACTTACGTATCAATAGCCTGGAAACGAAGATACTTGTAATCGAAGTGACCAACAAACAAGCTCTTGGTGGTGAAAGCATAAGGCTGAACGTCCACGTCGGCTCTGGTTACGCTGCGCAGGAAACTTGACTTGCCAACGTTGGGGTATCCGCAAATCAGGAGAGTGCGCGTGGTGGGATCGATGGAGGGAAGTCGACCAAGATGTTGGCGGACCTGATCAAGATAGACTAGAGGGTCCTTTAGTCGCTTGGTGATAGTTGCCATTCGACCGAGCGCGGCTCTCTTGAGCTGCTTGCATTGGAACAAACTCTGAGCATACTTGAGAAGTCGCACATAATCTCTCGAGATGGTTTCTATGAGGTGCTTCGCGGTTGAAAGATGACCGAGGGCGATCTTGAAATGGTCGGCATCGTAGAGAGTGTTTAGGAGATCCTTGTGAAATGGGTGAATGTCCTGAAGTCGGGGGAAGCTCTCAAGAATTTGAGCGAACTTTTCCGTGAAAGTCTCTTGAGTAAACTTGACTTTACGAGTATAGAATCCTGTGACAGCCAGTTAGTACCGAGCGCAAGTTAGACGCGGCCAGTGTTGGGTAGTGTACGAACCTCTGATACGACTGATTTTGAATCCGGATCTAATCTGAGTGGGTAGACGTCGCTGAGTTCTTGATAGAACAATATCGAGAAACTCTTCCGACGTTGGGACTGGTGGTATATCCTTCCAAGTAGTCTTCATCTTGGGCTACGGATGATGCGATTGTGTACCTACTTAGATAGTTGGGATTGTTGGTAAAAACAGCCGCGGGAGGTCCAGCTGTTCTTCAGCTTATCGACCTTTTTTGGTTGTATTTTGAAAAAAGGCGGAGTGGAGGGACAGTGGGAGTTGCACTTTTGCGAAATCTTGGCGCAGAAAAATTCCTTATCGATTATCTTATCTTATCAATCATAACTTCATCTTAGTGAAGAAGGTGGAAAGTGGGAAGTTAAACTCCGCGATTGCGAAAACTAGAACGCGACGACGCATGTGAAAATTGTATAAATCCTATCAATTCTATCAATCGAGCTAGATACAAAAAACATAAAAGTTGATTGTTAGTTGGTTGATTTATTTACATCCAAACTATAACAATTCTGGTCTCGTAAGTTACTCACGATGCCTTTTTCATCTCTTACCTTCTCTCATTACCCCGCCATGAGTTTTATATCCCACTTTCGAGAGCTTCTTATTATAACAATTATAATAACCAATTCCAGCTTAGACACAAATCCATAGGATGAGTCTTCCGCAGTATAAGAAGGACTTCCTGCGGGCTGCCGTCGAGGGCGGCGCCCTACGGTTCGGGTCTTTCGAATTGAAATCGAAGCGGACATCGCCCTACTTCTTCAATGCGGGCGACTTCTATACTGGAGAGCTGCATGAGCCCATCATGGATGCATATGCCCAAACTATTGCCACAAGCGAGCTGGCCGACGGCTTCGATGTTATCTTCGGCCCGGCTTATAAGGGTATCCCATTAGCCGCCACCGTCTTCTACGCCTTGATTAAGCTAGACCGCGCCAAGTACCGCCACGCCGCCTATAGCTTCGATCGCAAGGAAGCGAAGGATCATGGAGAGGGTGGCAGCATCGTCGGATCGCCATTGAAAGACAAGCGCGTCCTCATCATTGACGACGTCGTGTCCGCCGGCACCGCCAAACGCCAGGCCATCGACATGATCCGAGCCGCTGGTGGCACTGTTGTAGGCATTATTGTCGCTCTAGACCGTCAAGAAACCTTACCAGAAGGCGACGGTAAGACCAGTGCCATCGGCCAGCTGAAGAAGGAGTATCAGATCCCTATCATCTCTATCGTGAAGCTCGACGACATCATCGACGGTATGAAGGGTGTTATCTCGGAAGCTGACATCAAGAGCATCGAGGAGTACCGTACTAAGTACGGAGCCAGCGATTGATTGATTAGTGTCACGAAGAGCGCGTTGCTCGAGTCATCATTATCACCATTATCATCATCATTATCATCATCATCATCATCATTAATTAAGGTGGCTATTATTAGACACGGGTAGGTTTCCGATGATCGATGCAAGATCGAGACGGACGGTTCAAAAAAAAAAATATCGTAGATTAAATTAATCAGGTAACCTAGATAAAAAAGTAAAATGTTTATGCAGTGAGAGCTGCCTGTCGTCGGAAGTCAACAAGGTGTAGACGCAAACGGAGAAGCATTGTCCAATAGGCTTTTACTTGAGTATATGATACGATACCCCTTTTCCCCTTTCCGGCGGAGAATTAAAATATGCACTTATACGGCATAATCTTAAACATGGCTTACGGCACAAATGAGTGGCGCCTCTTTATTCAACTTCAAACCCCGAATTTTCAAGGGAAAATAATAATAATCATGTCGTATAACAGCAATCTGCATATACATACCACTTACAGGCAATGCGGAACCTGTAAGATCCAAGAATAAAAAGATCCCGTCATCCCGAAGTCGTACTGTACATTGAATAAACAGGAGGCGAAAAGGCAGGTAAATAATAATAATAATAATTATTAATAATATTAGTATTATTAAAAAAAAAGATTATCGAAACAAGAAAAAAATAAAATTTTAATTTCATACTCACCGCCTTCTGCCGCTAGACCACACAAACACGATACAACAACGCCGGCTTACGTTATTGAAACGTCTCGGAGGCTTGCTCATTTCCCTCGCTCAGCAAGCAACGCACGACACTTCTTAGAAGGGGAGGGTCGGTGAGAGGAAGAAGAAAGCTTACACGGGAGCAAGATTCATACGGTACGGTACGGTACGGTACAACTTGTAAGCATGTCGCTGTTACAGTAAGTAAACCTGTCTTCATGCCTACAGGCCTTCATGCCTATCTACATGCCTACATGTCTATACACCTCACACCTGCGCTGTGCTGCGCTACGCACATAACACATAAACATGTCCAACACATACTCGCATACATACATACCTACATACATACTACATACATACTACATACACATATACATAGGTATACATATACATGCCTGTACATCTGTCGCCTGGGCGTCGTCTCAAATATGACCAGCCAACCAGAGACTCCAATCCAACCGAACTAGCCACTCACGCCTCACCGTCTCTCACCGTCTCACCTCTCGGGCGTCACCGACTGGACTCCCCTACTTACTTACTTACTTACTTACTTATTTTTCTTACTTGCCTTTCTATCCTATCCTATCTCCCCTATCTCCCCTATCTATCTCAAGTAAAAGTAAAAACATAACATTACAAATAAAATCAACAGTAAATTCTAACGAGCATAAAAATAAAAAAATAAAAAATAAAAATAAAAACATTCTCACAAGCTAAGACAATCCAAACAGGTCCTTCCGCAACCTCTCGCCCCGCGCCCGCATAGGCGTCGGCCTGGGCCTGCTGGCCTGGGGCGCCATCGGTCTGCAGCTGGCTGATCGGACCGAGGCGCGGTACGGCTTCACGCCCACCGAGGACGACAAGGCCGCGCTCGCCAAGATCTTGCCGAGCGTCACCGCCGTCGAGAGGAAGAACGAGGGGGCTGGTGATGGTGGCGATAGTAGTGGTGGTGGTGGTGGTGGTGGTGGCGACAAGCAGCGGTGAACGACGAACTTGGACAGGAACACAACGGAAGGGAAGGGGGGGAGAGAGGGGAGGGGAGGGAAGAGGCGGGAAAGGCTTGTGAGATAGATGATAGCCTTTCGAACGGACGAGACAAGTAAAGCTGGCTGGCTGAGAGGAAACTATCCAAGTATACGTGTATGTGAATATGTGAATATGTGCTATGTACCTAATGTATGTGGATAGGCGGCTGCTGTCGCCGGGCTAGGCTGGGCTAGGCGATGGCCGGTGTGGCCTATCGGATGCCGAGCCAGCTGGCGGACTGAGCTTTGGGGTCTAGCTGGTGCATACACACATACATACCTACATACATAGACACAACATACACTGGTCAGTGCCGTGCAGAAGGAGGAGATTCGCCACCTGGAGAAGGGATGAACGAGCGGGCTTTTCCTAGCCGGATTACCTAGCTCGGATGTACATACGCACGATAGTTTGCAACGGCAATGCTATGCTATGCTATGCTATGCTATGCTAAGTTTGGAAAACTCGACGAACGTCTCGGTGCCTAACCTTAGGCGATCTCTCTGTCTATCTGTCTGTCTGTCTATCGACGTGGGACCGGGGGGGCGGGAAACGAAGGGGGAAAGGGGGAGATGGACGGATAGTCGACGAGGGTTGGGTTTGCTAGTAGACAGACAGACAGACAGATAGACAGACAGACAGATAGACAGACGGACAGATAGTCAGGGACAGACGTGGCTGGACTGAAGCAACTCCGACTAGCTCTAACTAGCCTGGTCGGATCCGTGCCACGTAGGATAAACGCGTGATGATGGCAGATCGACTAGGTAGGAGAGGGGCACGAGCATGTAGGAAGGTTTATGTATCGACGTTCGTTCGTTCGTTTCGTTTCGTATCGTCAGAAGTAATGTATGTAGGCATGTATGTATGTAAGAACGTACGTATACATAGGTAATGTACGCACGTAGCAGCGTTCCCACAGACAAGGCGCCAGCAGCACCCCTGGCGAGACCGTCAGACGTCATACACGTCGATAGCAGACCGTGGACGAGTGGACAGCAAGCTCAGACTTTCGCGCTCCTGGAACGTGGTGGACGGACGACGCTTCTTGTAGCGAATATTGCCCGTGCGGAATGCGTATATGTGTATGTGTAGGCGTGTATATGTATGCGTGTGTGCATACATAATATATACCCTGTTCCGGGATAGCCTCTCCCGCGACGACAGCACAGCTTTTCCAGCCTTCCCTTCTCGGCCGCGTACCTAACCCAACCTAATCCCAGACAACCATGGATTGTCATGTTAGTTAGGTACGGTACCTACCTTTAACCGGACGAGCGAGAGGAACGGTTCGAACCGCCCCTGCAAAGCCCTACATGCATACACACACGCACACACGTACACACAGACACAAACACACCATGTTCAGACAACGCAGACCAAAAACTTGTAAAAAAAAAAAAACTCACTCCCCCGGCCTAGCGAGAGAGAAATCGAGGCCAGCCCATGTAAATGCCCTGCTGCCCTAAGCCTAAAAGCCCTCGGTACAGTACGTGAACTTTGGGACAGCCGCTACCCACGTGGCGGACCCCACGGGCGGCCAAAAAGGCCGAAATAACTCAGACCCCAGCCCGGACGCTATACCCGACGGCGTGTGTATACAGCAGCAGCAGCAGCAGCAGCAGCATGATGCCTACTACACTATACACGTACATACGCCATGCCATGCCATGCTAGTTGTTCCTATAGGCAAATTAGGTAGCTGATCAGGGAGGCGAAAAACGATACTTACGGCTACCTTGCGGTACCTCGTCGACGATTCCAGCCCGTGTCTTGCCTGTCTTGGGCATAGCATAGTATAGCCATAGTATGCATACTTCTGGCAGACCAAAAACAATAATCCTTTCCTAGCCTCGATATTTGATCCCGGGCGAGTGAAAACCCCCGAGATGTGCATACAGAGCTATGTCGCCGCCTACCCCGTCATCTACACTAGACCATTGGGTTGGTCAGGGGGGTTCCACTTCCATGTGACAGGTCATTTTTCTATACCCAGTTTCTTATACTCAGTCCACTACCTTATTTGAACTGCTTTGGTTGTTTGTGGTTATGGAACATTCCAAATTCTAGCGTACTGGAGACTATGCGGGGGAAATTTGTGTATACTGTTTCCGCTACGCCACTGTTTGGTATGATCGAGGGGGAAATTAAATGGGAACAAGACACTTTTCCAAATACAACATAATTCTCTAATTCTCTATAACATACCGTAAATCGTAAAAGGAAGTAAGAATAACTATCTTATTTAACAAGCCTAACCTAGTGTAACATTGCCCTCGCTAATCAAGTTATTTGCACCGTGAGAGAGGATTAATAAATCTACAGTCCTTTTAGAAACACACTTGAAATTATTAAAGCCTAGGTACGGTATGAAGATAGAATCTTCTGTATCTTACTGCTAACTAGTCATTCATGAAATAGCGGGTTTTCACTTTGCACGCGGGTCTGAGGGACGTGAACAATGGAAACCATATACTTTAATTGTTCTGATCTGTAATCTATCTCATCCCATAAACATCAGTTGAAGAAAAACATGCTGCAATGAGTCCGCCTCCTACCCTCACACTTTGCTCGAATGCCAACCCCTATGAAATAATGCGTACCACAAGAAACGAGACCACTCCAGGAATTGTTAACCGGTCAGTGTAGACGTAAACATCATAATCACCTCCCAAGGGGGGTTTTGTGGGACCTGCTTTTTGAGCTGGCCTGAATCTAATCATCGAGTCTAAATGCAGACGCCACAGCCAGTCTAGTTTGTTGTGAGCCAACCCGGAAAATGCAGAGAGAAATTGCCGCCGTCAACCCGATCCGATGCAGAGAGAAGAATCGAAACTTTTTATGAGGCCATAAGTAAATAAAAGGAAAAGCAAGGAAATTAAAAACAGCAACGAAACGCCACATTTATGCTTTTTTATGTTGATCTTTGGTAGATTAATAGTTGCCTTTTTGCTTAAACTTCCGTTTTAACAGCGGGCATGCCAGGAGACTCCACGACTGATGGCAAAGGTTTGAAAAGTTGCGTCATGTCTAGAGTAAGATTGGTAACCGCAAAATCATTGTCGATATCGCTCACAGACCCGAGTTCTTCGCCTCTCGAGGCACCGTCCGTCATAACCCACGACTTCACAGTTTTGAGTAGTTGAATAACCTGCCTAAATCGACTATCCGGGGCCAGTTGTAAATCCGCCACCGTTGTATTCTTGAGCATCCATTTCGAAAGCCAAAAAAAGTGTATCCCATCACGACAGAAGCCGTATCGTCGAGGATTAGAGACCGAAGGAGGAAACTGAATCGCCATATCCATATCCCAGTACGACTTGAACTTATCGAGCGCAGTGCAAAGAGTCTTATACGTCTGAGCCGAAAACCCAGCCACTGGTGTACCAGTTGTGCTATTGTTGGCGCTTGCATTACCGCTTCCTGTATCTGATCCATTGGAGATCACCCAGTCATTCT